ACAGGTACAAAAAATACATGCTAGGGCATAGTTAAATTTTCACTAAGTCTTTTAGCCGAAAAGAGGAAAAATTATAGCCACTTTAGAGGCCGAATTGGCCCAACTCAAAGAGCCTAAGGGCCAAACTATAAGAGCCTAAGGGACGATATAAAAGAGCCTAAGGGCCGACCTAAAAGTGCCTAAGGGCCAAAATATATAGAGTTCGAGACCTTGCTCTCACTCAACTCGGACTCAAGAGTCCCGATATCCCGAGCTCGCATCAAATCAATTTAAACTTAGCTCGAGGATTAACAAAAACCTTAAGGGGTATTATATTGATCGATAAAAACCTAAGGGTTTATTATGTTTGGGTCCAAACCAGTACTCGAACAGATCATTTGAGATGTGCGATCGAACATTCCACAAATAAGGACAAAATGAAATTCAACACAAGTCAAAATTAAGACAAAGAGGTCCTTTTGTATTTCCAAGAGATGATTACAAAAGATATTTACATGAGGGGTAATTGCACAAAAACACAATAAAGAAACTTAAATCTACTCCGGGGTCACATCTTCGGCAGCTACATCTTCGGCAGCCGCACCTTCGGGACCTTCGTCCTCGGGAACCTCCCCATCGGGGACTTCATCTTCGTCTCCTCCGCTCTCGGAGCCACTGGCTGAATCCTCATCATCAGAAAGAAAAGCGGCAGCCTCTTCTTCCAAAGTCTTTGCTTTTTCAATATCGGCTGAGAGATCAAAGCCACGAGCATGCACCTCCTCGAGGGTTTCTCTCCGGGACTGTCTCCTGCCATGATCAAGTGCACATGATAGCTTAACTTTGGCCGCAGCGGAGATCTCCTTTGCCCGGGTGTTAGCTGCTTCAGCATCGGCTCGGTACAAAGATATAAATGCCTTTGCATCAGATTTGGCCTTGGCAAGCGCATCAGTAGATTTAGCTTCAAGCTCCTCGATTTTGCGGCTTCGAGCCAGGCTCTCCTCCTTCACACTTTGAAGGTGGTGTTCGATTGAAGCTAGTTGCTCCCGAAGAGTATCCTTCTCCGAAGCAAGACGGTCCATGCCTTGCCTCCACCTTAGGGTCTCGGCCTCCTTCATATTGAGCTCCTCTCGGAGCTGCTCCACCAGCTCGCCCTTTTGCTGAACCTGCAAAGTTGAAGCATTACCCGACCAATCAAGCAAATGCATAACAAAATTCTGAGGGGTATGTTACCTTTTCGACAAGCTCAGTCCATTCTTGACGAGCCTCCACCAGTTCAGCTCGAAGGTCACTGATCTCCTCATCTTTCTTGACATAGAGGGATTTAAGACCGTCCCTCTCTTCCGAGATTTTCTTAAGCTCGGCCTCACATCGAGCAAGCTCAGCTCGAGACTTGGAGAATGCTTCTTTATGGAGCGTCACAGCCTTCACAAAAAGGGAAAAAGTTAGTCTTAGAACAACAAGGATAAAGCACAGGCGTAATATTGAAGGACAGAAACTTACTTGTTTGAAGAGCTGATGGGCCTCGTCGAAAATAAAAGAAGCATCTGGGTCGGGGCCATCTTCGACCTACAAGGCATTCTCGAAATATATCATGCCCTTCGTGGCTCGTCCCCACATCAGGAGTTCTCATGTTCTGAGCATCTCGGAATTGCCCCTCGGAGAACTCAGGACCAGGCGGTGACTCATCCACGTTGATTACCCCAAGTGATCCACTCGGGACGTTCTCCTCTCTTAGAAGGGCCTCGGGATCGGGCCCCTCGGCCTCACCCTCCAAATGACCTCCGAGACGAGGTGCTATTTTGCTGTCTGATGGCTCGGGGACTTTGCTCGAGCTCCCCTCGGAAATCTCTTCAGTTCTAGAATGAACCGCTTCAGCCATTAGCGGTTCGACAGACTTCGAAGCCACGGTGCTCCCCTTTTTGCGAACTACCAATAGGCAGTCATCGTCTTCTCCTTCTTCATCCTCGTCCCGAAGGCGTTGGGCCATCTCAGAGGATAGGACCACAGTATCGGCCTTAGGCTTTCGAGCCACGCTTTTCTTTGGCTTCGAGGGATTTGCAGGCGACCCCCTCTTTCTCTTATTTTCTTTGGAAGGCTTTGACATCTTTTCTTCACCGGGCGGGGGCGGCCGCATAGCAACGGCGTCTCCGAGGCCCGCATAAAGACAAAGTAAGTATTTCACTAAGAAACACAAGTAAACAAACAAGAGAACTCACAGTGGTTTTTAGCCTCCCATCGACCTTTGGCCAGATCGCGCCAGCAGCGCTCTGCGTATGAGGAGGTAGAGGCCAGTTTTCGGACCTAACCTTCGAGGTCTGGGACCGCACCCAGAAACCAAGCAATAGCTACACCATCGGAAAGGGGTTAGACCAAGAGAAAAGATGAAGTCAAGAAAGAAAGGAAAAACAGGGCATAAAGTCATTATCGACAAATGTGTACTTACGTTTCATATTCCATTCTTCGGGGAATGGCATCCTCTCAGCAGGTATCAGACGGAAGTCCTGACTCGGACAAACCGGCTCATCCACCCTCAATCTTTGTCTTCACCGATGCTGGAGAAAAGAGATTTTGTGGATCGGCGCTGCAGCTTTGTCAGGCCGCCTCGATAGAGACGAGGACTGTATAGCCTGATTAGATGATCGAGGGTAAAAGGCATTCCCTCGACCTGTTTCGAGAAGAATCTGATCAGATTGACGATGCGCCAGAATGAAGGATATATTTGGCCAAGCGTCACTTGGTATTGTTGGAAAAAATCAAGAATAACTGGATCAATGGGACCCAGAGCTGGATCGGAAGGGCTCAGCGTGAACGGGTAGGTGTACACGCTTAAGTTCCCTGCTTTGTAAGTAGTAATGTCCTCTTTAGGGGAAGGGATCACTACATCTTTGTTCTCCCAGTTGCAGTCCTTTTTCACCTGTTGGAGCTCATCTTTGGTTATCAAACAAATGTATCGAGACATGGGCTCACATCGGCCTGGTGTCGATACAGGTTTCTCGATTTTGAAATCGGAGGTTGTTTCACACGGCGGGGGAATACACTCCTCGATACGAGGTGGCACTACCATTTTACTTTTGGCCGGTCGCGATGATGAAGAGGCTTTTTCTTTTTGAGGAACAGATTTAGATGTTTTGGCCATTATGGTGTAGTAATTCAGAGAGAAAGGGTTGATGATGAAGTAAGGGCAAGTTAAAGAGAAGGATGAACTCAGAGAAGTTGAAGGAGCTAATGAGATTTTGAAAACGATTAGAGAAATAAAGTTTACAAAAGTTGTGAAGTTGGCCTATTTATAGAAGTCACTTAAGCGTATTGGGGAAGCCAAATAGCCGACCGTCAGCTGCCTCCAATTAATGACTTTGGGAACTGCACGAAAGCGACCTTTCAGTCACTTCAGCCACTGACATCACGAGATTGGCATTGGGACCGAGGCATTGGAGCATTGAAGATCAAATCGTTTCTTATCGACCTACTCTAAGAAATGCGGGGACTATTTGTATACGGTCGAAATCAGGCACGCCCGATTTTGCAGGCTCGAGAGATCGCCTTAGGTCCGAGTTCAAGTAAGCTCGAGTTCGAGGTCGACAGACTAGACTCGAGCTCGAGGACGGAATGCAATGCCCGAAGATAGGAGTACAAGGAATACTGAAGTTAAGTATGCTCGACCCCGAAATTGTACCGTCATGGGTTTGTAACAGAATGAGCTAGATTCCTGCCACGTCCCCAAGATCATGGCGCAAATCCCGGAATAGGATTGTACGATTCCATACTAGGCGGTTAGACAGCTGTATCAATAATATTCCTTACTGTAAATAGAAATGTACCTTATTTAGGGTTCCCCTATTATATAAAGGGGACCCCAATCATTTGTAACATCATCTAATCATTGGCAAAGAATATACTCTCTACTTTTCGCTTACTGTGCATCAGAATTGTTCTTTCCCCTTACTATTCTTATTTTATTGTTCTTGGTTCATCTCGAGGTCACTAAGGTCGAGGTCACCACTGCTGAGTAACATTGATTTGATTAACTTATTTCTTTCATTTCTACTTCATATTTATTGAATATTAATTGGTATTAAATTTAATCACATATCTTTAAAACGACAAATCAAATTTAATTGTTGCTCGTATTTTCGAAGAAAACAGAGTGCAAAGTCAAAAGTGGAGAAAGAAAATTGGAACTGATGAGGAACAAAAAATTAGCACTTGCGTGACATCTACTTATTGCTGCACTACTGATGAGGGACAAAAAAATTGGTCAAAACATTTATTAAACTCTAACTCTCAAGTCTCTCATTAAATATCCAATGCAATCTCCTAATTAACGGATTGGATTAGTGCTCATCCATTTGAACTTTTCACACTCCTTAATTATGCGTGTATACAAAGAAACTTCCACACTTAAACTCTTTGAATATTGCAGCAACTTGGCGAAAAAAAATAGATTTCCCGACACTCGGCAACAAAAGCGTATCCATGATTTAAACTTTATGAGTTCAACCTTTAAAATTTTAATTACTGAACTCATTATATTTAAAATTTATGGATTCATATCTATTACTAATTACAATTTTATTGAATTTTTATACGTAAATTTATACTCCACAACGAAAATACTGAATTGACGAACCAGTACCAAAGGGCTGTATCTTGATTCTTGCCCTGCTCGGAGAGAGAACCACAAGTTGGCTTATTAAACGTTACTCCCTTCTGTTCACAATAAGTGACCAATTTGCTTTTTCATTTTGGTTCAAAATAAGTGTCCAGTTAGGTAATCAAGAAAGAATTCAATTTGTTTTTACAAAATAACCCCTATGTACATATCCCTAAAAAAAATTCTTACTCCTCACATTAAATGTTTAATTAGGGGTAGTTTAGTCATAGTAAGTATTTTTATATAGAATTTAGTATTTTCTTAATGGGCGTGCTAAAAGCAAATTGATCACTTATCGTGAACCGGATGAAGTATAATATTAAATTCCTCAAACTTCTCTTTCTCTTCATGTTCCATGCATTGAAAATTAAACTCATTTCTCGCGCGCAAGTTTCAGAAAATCCTGTAAATTCTCTCATTTCGTCCAATTAGTTTCAGTTACGGCCCGTTGACTCAGCTCAACTTACCGGAGTTCTCAGGATCTCGCCGGAAAATTCTCTGCTAGTTTGCCGCTGCAAATTTTTTCTGAATTGTTAAGGCGGATCGGACTTGATGAAGAACGGGATGATAAAGTGCAGCGCATGTCATTCTAATTTTGTTTCTACAACAGAAACTATTTCAAGTGCAAATGATCAACACAGAAGCAAGAAATCTTCAAAACCACTTGCTCTTAGTGTCCTTTTGGTTGTAGGTGATTGTATCCTTGTTGGTTTACAGGTAGTAGCAGTCATTTCCTGTACGTATATTGTTTGCTTGACTTATTTGAATTAATTTCAGGTATAATTACTAAATTTTACCCATTATAATAGTAAAATCATAAAATTTTATTTTATCACATTAAAGTAATTTAATTTTATCCATTATAACAGTGAAATCACGAAATTATTTTTCGTTTTAAAGTAACTGAACGATGTGAGAATACTCAAAAAACTCACAAATTATCCGAAGGTCAAATACTCAATTTTCTGTGTTTTTTTATTCAAATATTTTTTAAGCATCCTTTGCTCTATAAATATCATCAGTAGTCAAAATGTTTACGGTAGATTTTTTTTTTTTAAATTCTGCCATTTGTATATTCTGTGCCGGAAATTTGACTGTTCCGTCATTTGTATTTTCTGAGCAATTCACACATAGTTCAGTTACTTTAATATGTCAAAAATTGACAGGGGCATAGCCAACATATAAGTACGAGTTCAGCCGAACCCGACAACTTTGATTCAGACCTTGTATTCGTCTTAAGAAATCCATTGAATATATACGTACAAATTATTAATTCAGATCCAATAACGTTGTTCTTTTGTCCATAAAGCCACTGTTTCTTTTAAGTATCTATACAAATTGCTGACTGTTATTAATACCTATATTCCTTCTTTTAGATGTCATTACATCTTTTCTGCTATGTTTCTGCTTTTGATTTTCCAATGGGAAAGGCTTACTCGGTACTTCATTTTGGTATTTCAGCCTGTTTTGATATTTATGTCGAAAGTGGATGGAGAATTCAAGTTTAATCCCCTAAGTGTCAACTTCTTGACAGAGGCAACGAGATTTCTCTTTGCAATAGCAATCATTTTATTACAGGTACATTCATCTCTGCTTTTAGTTTTTTTCTCATTATATTTTTCATTTTGAACCAAAAAGGAAAGTACTGGATAGTACTATAATGGAACTTTCATATTGCGAACCAAACTATTTGGGATTAAGGTGTAGTTGATTGATTAGTTGATATATTTTCTTTGTTGATGCTCATGACTTGAGGCGGAGTGAAATGGTCCAAATAAAGTTGAATGGATATTAAGGATTTATATAGTTGACTCCAACTAGTTTGGGACTGAGACGACTCAGTTGATTGGTTGATTGATTGATTAGATATTTCGTTTCGGATTTCTAATTGCAATCCCTAGTGTTAGTTTTGTATTTCCGCTTCGGTTTCTAATTGGTGTGCTTGTTGTTGCCCTTTCTTTTACCTTTCCCAAGCCAAGAGTCTGCCGGAAACAGTCTCTCTGCCTTCTTGAAGGAAGGGGTAAGGTCTGCGTACACACTAACTTCCTCAGACCCCACTTGTGGTATTACACTGAGTTTATTGATGATGATGGATTTGATATTGGGGGAATCATATGTTCATGTTGTATTCTTTCTGCAGTCCAGGTATCAAAAAGTTGGAGAAAAGCCACTTCTTTCAGCATCCACTTTTGTACAGGTAAATGTTCCTGTGGGCAATGTTGTTAGTGTCTAAACTCTTGGCCCTATAGAGAGGGAAATAGCATATTCTATATGTTTTTATCGATATCCTGGCTAAGCAAAATAATAATTGGTAACTTATTTAAAATCGGCATTTTTAAATTTTCTTCAGGGTGCGCGCGACACTGTCCTTCTAGTTGTACCTGCATTACTCTATGCTATCAATAACTACATGAAATTCATCATGCAGGTAATAATGTTTCTTAAAATTTTTTTTTCCCTTGTGAGCGCCGAAGTGATAATTCCATCCTTTTCATGCATGTTATACCTTGCAATTTGCTATGTTAATAACTGAAATTGTGCTTAGTTTCATCTAATTCCATCACGAAGGACAAAAAGCAAAGCTGTGGCCAGTGGCGGAGCCAGGAATTCTGACAAAGAGGTTTAAAAGAATACATACACGGCACGTGAATACTCCTAGCAGGGGATTCAACAATTTATAAGAGATTGTTTTTACCCTATTTTTACTATGTGCCTGCTATTGGTGCTGGAGGACCGCTATGTGATGAGATTTCTCTCTTTCCTCTCAAGACTAAACAAAATTTGACTAGATTTTCATTTTAGAAGACAGTGACTATGTAACATCTACGATTTAATTGACTGTTCTCCTCTGATGCATTATGATCTGCAGTTATATTTCAATCCAGCAACAGTGAAGATGCTGAGCAATCTAAAGGTATACTACTATATTTGAATGTCGCTGTATCTTTCCTGTCACGTGATTGACACTTCAAGTTCTTGACTTGAAGAATGCTGTATTCCTCTGGTGGATATTATGTTATCCCGAGTGTACCTTTAATCGCGATACTTTCTCGCTGTTTTCCATGTGCAGGTTCTGGTTATTGCTGTACTGCTGAAAGTTATCATGAAACGCCGATTTTCCATAATTCAGGCTAGTTTCAAACTCCTAATAATTTTATTTGATTAAGTCGATAGTTAAAGTAATGATAGTGAGGAGGACGGAGCAAAAAATTCTGTATGGTTTTCTGCCGGATAATATAAGTTTGATATCCTTATAATTGTTTTGATAATGTTACAGTTGGAAGCTCTTGCTTTGTTGCTTATTGGAGTTAGCATAAATCAACTTCAATCTCATCCTGAAGGTACCACTACTTTTGGTCTTCCAGTTACAGCAATTGCATACATCTACACACTGATTTCCGTGAGTAATTCAAAGCACCTCTTACCAATACCTGTGATGTTTTCATTTCGAAATACTTTAGTAAAAACATCTAGATAGTGTTTCAGCAGTGGCAGTTTCAGAATTTAGACGTTGTGAGTTGTGAACTAACAGAGTGAATTCTGGAATATATGTTTCTGCATATACATATATATAGTTCGACCCTGAGTAATGAATTATACTGAATGCGAGAACCCAGTGTTGGATCTGCCACTGTGTATAAGACTTAAGCGACTTGGTTTTTATCGGCTAACCAGGATTTTATATATATATACAGGTTATTGTGCCTTCTTTGGCCTCGGTATACCATGAATATGCTTTGAAGAGCCAATACGACACAAGTATTTATCTTCAGGTAGCTTCAGCATGATGATTATAATTTCTCTGTGTGCTTTATAATCAGAATAGTTATTAGCTGCCTTGTCTTATGTAGAACAGCACCAATTTTTTACTTTAAGTGTCAGCTGGATTTTTATGTTGAACTGTGCATGATGGATCTTGTTTCTCTAGCAATACAGATAATGCAAATTTTTCGACAGATTTCAATCTGTTCCTGACCATTCGACACGTTTGTTATTAATTTGCAGAACTTATGCTTATATGGATATGGTGCTATATTCAACTTTCTTGCCATTCTTGGGATGGCTATATTCAAAGGTTTTGTATCTCAGTTTTTCCTTTAAATAATTTTTTTTTGCAGATACAAAATTAAAGGATAAATAGTACTCCTATACATAGGTAAATTGGTTGCAACTGATGAAATTCAGGGTTCAAATACTCCCTATATTCTGTCATATGGACAATTTACTAGTATAGGATCATGCCTCTGGTGTTTTAAACTATTTTCTATATTATTAAGCTGCTGCGTTTGACGATATTTATCCATCTCCTGAAATATTATTTCTGAAATTTTCAGGTCCGAGTAGCTTTGATATATTGCACGGGCAGTCAAAAGAAACCATGCTTCTGATATTTATTAGTGCAGCTCATGGAAATCTATCCTCCTTTTTCTACCAATATGCTGGTGAGACTTTTTTGTCACAACGCTTTAAACCTATGTTGCTCGGACTCTCTAAAGATGTTATTGGGTGCGTGTCGGATCCTTCAAAATTAATGTATTTTTAGAGGATCCGACACGGGTGCGGCAGCATTTTGGAGAGTCTGCGCAACATAGCTTTAAACTATATATCATCTGTTTTCCATCATCATATGCTATTGTATATTTTAACTTACATTATTTCTCTATATGTACCAGATACAATTTTGAAGAAGTATTTGGCGATTATTGCAACACTATTTACAGGCATAGCATCTGCTTTGTTGTTTGGTCAAACGCTGACGATAAACTTCATTCTGGGAATTTCTGTTGTGTTCATTTCAATGCACCTGGTACTGAGATTCAAAGAAATTTATACCCTTCTGGTTATTGCCTTTTTATATATTCTTCGGGTTAAATTTAAACTTTTTTTTATTCTTTAGTACATTTCACCTCTTTCCCAAGTTAAAGACCACTACAAGAAAAAAGGTCTTTAACGAAGGGATATCCGGTCGTTAAAAGAGTAAATTCGGTCGTTATTAGTCAATTACGACCAAAAAAAATCTGATCGTCGCCGGTCGTTAAAGGCTCCGACGTTAAAAGTAAACGACCGGATTCTAGTCCGGTCGTTAATGACCTTTTAGCGACAACAAGAAGTCCAGTCGTTATACCTTCTTTTAGCGACCAAATTTCCCTTCGCTAATTTTCATTTTCAACGTTATAAATGCTTTTAGCAACCGAAATTCCTTTCACTAATTTTACACTACTTTCAATAACAATACTTGAACGACCCATTTTTCCTTCACTAATCTTAGATTTCAATAAATATAATTAGATAAAATTTATATTTTTCCCCTACTGTTACTAAATGGTAATCATTATTTCAAATGTAGACACATAAAAAATCGTCAATACTCATATAAAACATCATTGTTAATCACAAAGAACAATAATATCACATTACAAAAAAAAATACATCCATTCGAATTGCATGCCATGATTTTGCAACTCCTAAGATAAGAGAAAATTGGATTGTACGGTAGTTGAACAATCATCTTGATAATGTGACACAATCAACCAACTTCTACCATTGTCTACTGGGTAGGTGAAAATTTTCCACCATTCATGGCTCTATATCTGCAGAATCAATAACAAATGATTAGCTGACAAGAACAAGATCATAGATACCGCAATTCAAATTAAGGACTTGCTTCAATGCTTACTGATGCTTTATAGTCTTACTGATGCCTATGTAAAACTGGTGTAAAAGAACAAAATATAGAACTAACTAGTAATTTAATTGAAGTAAAAATTAGTTCAAAAGAAGGTCAGAGTACAGATAATTTCATTCCACTTAGGTTCAGAAAAGATACAAAATCTCTACCCATGAGCTGCCTAGTTGTAAATAAATTCAAACTCAGTTTAGACAAAGTTCTTATGGTTTTCAAAACTGAGGATCTTGCATTTAGATGACAACAATATTTATTTTGTCAATATGACCACAGAGGACATCAAGGCTTGAAAGATTCCTAGAAAGCATCTCAAAACTACATGTTCTGACCATTACTTAAAGAACAAGTTTGAAGGAAGGAAAGAGATAATGAAAGACATAGAGATTTCTCCTTCAACAATAACCAATAACCAGTAACAAGAATACATAACATTCTTTTTTATTTTTTTTCTATTCTTCCATTATAAACAACACCTTTAGGCCATAACTGGTTCTGGCATCACCTTATCTCCCTCATCTTTCTATACAAACATTAGACGCCCCTTAGCTCCACTCTCACTTCTATTTCAGAATGGTGGATAACCAAATAAAATTTCTACAAAGTTTTAACACATGGNAGTCCCGGTTCAACCGTAGTTGAACTTTTTGGCGAAGGCGCATAGCCTGAGTCCCGGTTCAACCGTAGTTGAACTTTTTGGCGAAGGCGCATAGCCTATCTTGGTTCAACCGTAGTTGAACTTTTTGGTGAAGGCGCATAGCCTGTCTTGGTTCAACCGTAGTCGAACTTTTTGGCGAAGGCGCATAGCCTGTCTTGGTTCAACCGTAGTGGAACTTTTTGGTGAAGGCGCATAGCCTGTCTTGGTTCAACCGTAGTTGAAATTTTTGGTGAAGGTGCATAGCCCGAGTCCCGGTTCAACCGTAGTTGAACTTTTTTGGTGAAGGCGCATAGCCTGTCTTGGTTCAACCGTAGTTGAACTTTTTGGTGAAGGCGCATACCCTATCTTGGTTCAACCGTAGTTGAACTTTGGGTGAAGGCGCATAGCCTGTCTTGGTTCAACCGTAGTTGAACTTTGGGTGAAGGCGCATAGCCTGTCTTGGTTCAACCGTAGTTGAACTTTTGGTGAAGGCGCATAGCCTGTCTTGGTGCAAGCGCATAGCCTGAATCCCAGTTCAACTGTCGTTGAATTTTGTCGATCTTGATGGCGAAGGCTCATGGCCTGAGTCCCAGTTCAACTGTTGTTGAACTTTGTCGATCTTTGATGACGAAGGCTCATGGCCTGAGTCCTAGTTCAACTGTTGTTGAACTTTGTCGATCTTGATGACGAAGGCTCATGGCCTGAGTCCCATATTGTGGGTATTGAGTGCTGAAGCTCGGTTTGGATTCGAGACCTTGAGCGGCTCATCCGTTGTCTTCCCAACCAGGGTTTATAGGCTGTCTTGAGGCGACTCTCGGCTCGAGATATCTCCGTGCCGGTTTCTGGCCGGAGCTCGTATCTGGGATGTGGGAGATGCCTTACAGAGACCTTCCCTTAGGAGGGGGGCTGCTTCTTCTTGTTTGCACCATCTGATAGATGAGAGACAGAGGAACTGGATCTCAATTCGAGATCTTCGAGTTCCATCGGCCTGATATGCCGCTTTGGCTTGTTTAAGCTGGGTTGTTCTTCCTTTTCCGGCGTTTCTTTCCTTTTGGTCCATGGAAGAACAACGCGATTTTGCTATGAAATCCCCACAAACGGCGCCAAATTGTTTGCTCTAAAGTTATCACATATCTTATGAGTATAAAACAATATAAATTAATCACGGGAAAATCATAACAAATCGTAATAATCCATTGGACGAAGCGAGAACATGAAAATAAGTACTCAAGGTTAGGGGGAGAAACGTTAAAAGCCTTTATTGATAATATTGGTTTGGTCTGCCTCTCCATGAAGAGGTTCAGAGCCTTAAAATGGTGTTTTCACTTCCCATAAGATGGGTATGTTTTTCTCTTCTCTCTCTCTCTTGTCAATAGTGGTCAAGAAGTAGCCCCCGCCCTTTCTAGGGTTCCCTCTCTTGGTATTTATAGCTGTGAGCTTCGTGAGCTGGCAATAAGTGGCCGTGACCACGTTGGGATCTCGCCTTTATGGTGGCGGACAGGCCATGGCCCTGTCGATCCAACCAGATGCGGGCTGAACATCGCCAATTCTGAGTGGTCGTGCCACTAATTAATCATGAATTAACTTAACACGGGATTAGCCTCGCTAATTATCATGGGGTCGAATTCTGACCCATACATGGCTGTAAGCAAGTCCATGGCTCATCCGAGACATTAGGCACTCTTGGTTATATTGCACCAGAATATGGCTCGGAGGGAATAGTGTCTACTAGCACTACAAGAAAAAAGGTCTTTAACGAAGGGATATCCGGTCGTTAAAAGAGTAAATTCGATCGTTATTAGTCAATTACGACCAAAAAAAATCTGGTCGTCGTCGGTCGTTAAAGGCTCCGACGTTAAAAGTAAACGAATGGATTCTAGTCCGGTCGTTAATGACCTTTTAGCGACAACAAGAAGTCCAGTCGTTATACCTTCTTTTAGCGACCAAATTTCCCTTCGCTAATTTTCATTTTCAATCGTTATAAATGCTTTTAGCAACCGAAATTCCTTTCACTAATTTTACACTACTTTCAATAACAATACTTGAACGACCCATTTTTCCTTCACTAATCTTAGATTTCAATAAATATAATTAGATAAAATTTATATTTTTCCCCTACTGTTACTAAATGGTAATCATTATTTCAAATGTAGACACATAAAAAATCGTCAATACTCATATAAAACATCATTGTTAATCACAAAGAACAATAATATCACATTACAAAAAAAATACATCCATTCGAATTGCATGCTATGATTTTGCAACTCCTAAGATAAGAGAAAATTGGATTGTACGGTAGTTGAACAATCATCTTGATAATATGACACAATCAACCAACTTCTACCATTGTCTACTGGGTAGGTGAAAATTTTCCACCATTCATGGCTCTATATCTGCAGAATCAATAACAAATGATTAGCTGACAAGAACAAGATCATAGATACCGCAATTCAAATTAAGGACTTGCTTCAATGCTTACTGATGCTTTATAGTCTTACTGATGCCTATGTAAAACTGGTGTAAAAGAACAAAATATAGAACTAACTAGTAATTTAATTGAAATAAAAATTAGTTCAAAAAAAGGTCAGAGTACAGATAATTTCATTCCACTAGGTTCAGAAAAGATACAAAATCTCTACCCATGAGCTGCCTAGTTGTAAATAAATTCAAACTCAGTTTAGACAAAGTTCTTATGGTTTTCAAAACTGAGGATCTTGCATTTAGATGACAACAATATTTATTTTGTCAATATGACCACAGAGGACATCAAGGCTTGAAAGATTCCTAGAAAGCATCTCAAAACTACATGTTCTGACCATTACTTAAAGAACAAGTTTGAAGGAAGGAAAGAGATAATGAAAGACATAGAGATTTCTCCTTCAACAATAACCAATAACCAGTAACAAGAATACATAACATTCTTTTTATTTTTTTCTATTCTTCCATTATAAACAACACCTTTAGGCCATAACTGGTTCTGGCATCACCTTATCTCCCTCATCTTTCTATACAAACATTAGACGCCCCTTAGCTCCACTCTCACTTCTATTTCAGAATGGTGGATAACCAAATAAAATTTCTACAAAGTTTTAACACATGGCAAATTTTTTCCATCAAATACAACCAACAAGTAAGCAGTAATCTAAAGAAAAGTCACATAACCAAAGCAAGGACAAGATCAGCACACAAGCAACTCAGAAACCCAGCAAAAATGTCGAAAAATTACGGGTTTTAGTATAAACTCGCCTCNCAACTCCAAAGGTTAAGGCACCTTTGGTCACGCTATGTAGCTTACTCACCCAATCTCTTTAACGCCTCCAAATAATATAATCATAGAGAACGTCTTCAGGGATATTTTATTTCATAAGACAACTTCACAATACAATCACAACCAAACATAGTGAAGTGGTTGTCCCTAGAACATCTGCTTTGTTCAAAATCAAACCCCATCCAAAAAGCAATCTGCTCTACTATATACTTCAAATAATGAATGCACTATCCATACAGTAATAATACCATTCTATGTATATAGATCAATGAAGTCACAAAGCGCATTAAACCAAAAGATTTGCACTTCCTAAACAGGTCTAGAGGAACAAAGCCATATCCTTTTTGTTACTGCAATAGCAAAGGTTACATATGCTCATTTCTTTCTTCACCAGCTCTATGCCTTTATATTGCTCACAAATAGAACATATCTATAAAGAATATATACATAATTAAGCGTATACAAACTGTTTTATGGTGAAAGTAGAACACCAAAGCACGATTTTCAGAATAAACACTTAATGAAATTATTATGTCCAATTTCAACACTACATTATATTAAGTTGCTAACAGAAAATCCTTGAATTATAATCTTGTTAACTTATAAAATTTTGTGCGAATGCAAAATATTATCGAGTGTCAACAGTATATTATACTAATACCAAACACCATTCGAGTAATCATAGTAGTATCTTGGTATGATTTCCCCGATATTGCTAAGAGCCTATTACATTTTGATTGACAATATTGATCATAACAACAACAACAATAACAACAACCTTGTAAAATTCCACCAGTGGGGAATATTGAGCATACTATTACATAAATACTCATACGGTTAATGAAGAATATTACCCCCAAATTCCTAAATGATGTTTTCCTTTATCGAGATAAATACTCTGCACTTATAGGTGACACTGCCTGGAAGAACGTCTTCGATAAACCCAATAAGTTTAAAGTAATAAAAGTGTTAATATCAAAAAAAGACGAACAACAAATCGAAGGATCTACTCCTGCAAACTGATCGGTGGACGTAATTATATAATTGGAAAACATGTAATTATAAAAAGAACACCAATATACTTGATAAATACTATCACAAAGAGAGATAATTGGAAAGGTAGTACTATCACAAAGAGATAATTGGAACAATAAAATAATACCCAATTCCACAACAGTTACAACTGAAAGTTCAGATACTAGCAGAAACATACCTTGATGAGAAGGAGAAACCCTAAGAGCACTTTAAGAAAAATGGAAGATCAGCCGCAGTAAGAATTTCAATTCGTTTGTGATTCTTCATCAAATGCTCCAAGCTTTATATAAGCTTTCTGATCACTATAGAACATGAGATTATTTTTCTGTCATTTGGGGTGACGAATTGTGGGTTGAGCAAAATCACAATAGAGACAACGTGAGGCTCGTTTTCTTTTATTTAGGGGTTGAGGGGTTTGGGTGGGCCCATGAAGTGTTGGGAAAAATAAGAGGGAAATCTTAGCGCCCTTCTTATTTATTTTTTTAGTTTAACGACCGGATATTATGCTTTTTAAGGACCAGATATTATCCTCTCGTTAATATCGAACTAAATATCAACTTTAACTACCGGAAAAAGATGTGGTCACTAAAAGTTCACTTATAACGGCCGGATGCACATCCCTTCGTTAGGAAATGGTCATTAAAAGCCCCTTTTCTTGTAGTGGACGACGAACAACACGGGACACTGAAGCTAATGGATGTCCAAGATAGCCATAGGTATTATCTTTTACATATTTCAGTATGTAAATATCTTCACATTGTCACTGGAAGGAGAGCGTTGGCGTAACTAGTAAAGTTACTGCCATGTGACCAGGAGGTCACGAGTTCGATCTCTGGAAACGGCCTCTAGCAGAAATGAAGGTTGCGTATAATAGACCATTATGGTCCGGCCCTTTCCATGAACTCCATGCATAGCGGGAGCTTAGTGCACCGGGCTGCCCTATTTTCAGTATATAAAATCTTCGCATTGTTACTGTATGCTTAAAAATTCAAATAAAAAGACGTTTCAGTAACTCTTTTCCTATTGTGCTGTTTTCAGCTCTAGAGATTCATCCTCTTTAAATATTGCAGAATTAGGAACAAATTATGGGGAGGTAACAATCCATTTATCAATATGTCAAGAAGCTACCTTTTTGGTTGTATTTTCAAATGATAATGGACTGCTTTCCTTTTTTTTTGTTTCAGGCTAGTAATGGAGTAATACCTGATGAAAAACAACCACTTCTTCACAAATGAAGCTATTTTTATTTTAACAATATATCTGCTGATGTTTATACACTTCAGAAATTGACAATTTGAGTTAGGTACTATTTTCTTGGGATCTTTACGCAAATAGCCAACCACATTCATTGTTTACTTTTTTTAATTATATACATAAATTATACATTGATTATACACAACTATAAGCATATAATACACAAGTTCTGCATATATTATACCTGCACCGACTATTTTTAGTTCAAGTGGTTGGATGGATGGCTATTTGGATTAATTCTTTAGGTAAGTATTTGCTTGTTATTGCCTTTCTCTTTATTTTTCTTGAGTTGAGGGTCTATCGGAAATAGTCCGTGCCTTCTTAAAGGTAAGGATAAGGTTTGCATATACTAGGTATGTTGTTGTTGTGGTCTCTTTTGGTGGTACATTTTACTTGGAATGCTTTTTCCAATTTGTTTTTAGGATAATCTAAATATTGCTTAGCGCATTTTGGCTTGTTATTTACAAGAAACGACAAAAAGTTTGGTTAGTGTTAAATTTGGAGAAAATGACAGGAAGTTAATATGTCGTTTCTGCATCTTATATTTTGGGTCTTGTAAGTAATCTCTGGCGAAATCTAGATGCTTCTACGCAGCATTTAAACAATATGAAAAAAAAATAAGCCGAACCGACGAAAATAGAACAAATCAAATCGAACCGAATCAAAGTATTAAAGTGACAAGAAACATTGATTTGTAATTGGTTTGATTTAATTTCGAGTTGAGAGGGGAACAAGACTATATTTGAGTTGGTTGGTATTAATCAAGTCGAATTGAAACCAAAAGATTCTTACCAAAGGAAGCTTTTTTTTTATGGCATGAACCTTAAATTTTTAGTTAAGGATCGAAATATTTTGTGAAAATAACATGACCTAGTCAGTTTTTGGACTAGTAATTTAAAAATAATCAGCGTTTGCAAAATTATAACTAACCATTATTTTGCTGCAATATGGAAAGTTCCCGCATAATATACTGGAGATTGGTGCACATGTGTATGAACTTTCAGCATATTATGCTGGAACTCCAGCACACGGAAAATTCCAGCATAATATAGTGGAGATTGGAGCACATGTGTATGAATTTCTAGCATATAAATCTGGCTATTTTTGAAATACATTGTTGCACCATATTTCTTGATAACACAAGTATGGACAGGTCAGCAGCGTAAAAAATAAAATTGGAAATGCCAACTGTGCCATAAAAATTGTTGTGGCACCAAATATGAAATGGTGAGCTGTCGTGTCGGTGAAGAGAAGTTGGTATTAAGTGATCTCAGCTCAGCTTTGCTTTGCTTTATTCCAAGTCTAGAACGTTCCTCCTCAAAGAAAAATGATTTTTTTTTTTTTGGCTTTTCATCCGTTGTCCAGTATCCGCATTGGAGCCCGACTATCTTCGGATTCGCACCGGGTAGAGCCCCATTCAGTGGGTAATGCTCCCTACCAAGTATTTTTTCAAACCCAAGGCTCGAACCCGAGACCTCTGATTAAGGGAAGAGCAGTCCTATTCACTGCACCACATCCTTCGGTGATGATTTTTTCTTTCTTAGTGAAAGCAGAAAATATTCTTCCTAATATTATAAAAGAGTTGTTTTTTAAATATTCTAATTTCTATACATTTCCACTTGCTTCGGTTAAAATTAAGATTATCAATTTATTATTAAACTTTGATATTAAAAAAATAATATTTGCCTTCATTTTTCTGCATTATAGTTAATTCAAAGAGAAAAATAGAGCATAACGAAAACAAAAATTCATACATCCCATGTTTTCTAACAGATTAAGACTTAGATATGGTTACGTATATTTTGAGTGCTTATTAGTAATTAATTATTATATGTTAATAAAGAATATAGTACTACCTAATGATGACAAAATGGTAGTTATCGACCCATATTATCCATTTAAAAATGAGTTAGATAATAAATTTTTTAAAAACGAATTAATGATGAATAAGATTCATATTATCTACTTAGAAAATGGATAACAAACGATAACTAATGGATGTAACTTTTACATTTGTAAAGCTTCAAATTGAGGGCTCCTCAAGTTGGGAGACTATAAATTCTCTCGAAAGTGATCATATTCAAGAAAACATGAATAATATGAATATCCATATTATCGATCTATCCATAGCCGACCCGACAGTTTGCACTCCTAATACCACCAAAGATTATAATAAAGTGATAATACTTCTTCATTCTTAACCAGAACTTTTAAACTCCAGTATTGGAATAAAGTTTTTAGTTGACTGCGCCAAAACCCGTAAAATAATAGAATATGGAGAAATTATTAAATATTAAAATAAAATATTCTAAAATAAAGCAAAATAAATACTGAAGAAAACTGTCCTAACTTGGAATTGATGTTGTTAGTACTGTTTCTTTCCTGATAGGGATACTCCATCTAACAGCTTTTTCTTTCACTGGTTTCTCTTCCCTTGCATTAGACCCAAAGAAAAAACTTCACCAAAAACCCAAGAAAATATATAAATACACCAAAAGTTTCAATTTTGAATCACACCCAAATCTCAAAATTCAATTAACTTGCCCTTAAATTTCTCTTCACACATTTCCCCATTTTCAATTCCCTTTAAAAATCCCACCATTTTCTTATCCTAAGTCATAAAAATGGTAGCTTTAAAAATGAAGGTTTTAGGATTTATGTTAATAATGCTTTCAATTTCTGCATTTGCTAAAGGGGATGAGAATGAATCATCTAAGCCACCAACAATAGTCAAAATAGTGAAGGGTAAAAAAATGTGTGTTAAAGATTGGGAATGTAATAAGTTATCAAGGTTTTGTTGCAATTTGACAATTTCAGATTATTTTGAGACTTACCAATTTGAGAATTTGTTTGCTAAGAGGAATTCACCTGTAGCTCATGCTGTTGGTTTTTGGGATTATAAATCTTTTATTACTGCTTCAGCTCTTTATCAGCCTCTTGGATTTGGTACTACTGGTGGTAAGCAAATGCAGATGAAAGAAATTGCTGCTTTTCTTGGTCATGTTGGTAGCAAAACTTCTTGTAAGTTCTCCTTTTTCTTTTTAAAAAATTAAGCTCAAAGTATACTTCTTTTCTCTTCAATCATCCAGTTTTCAATGTGTGTGTGTGTATGTATTTGTGTGTGTGTGTATTGCATAATGTGGGCATGAGATGAGTTTAAATGGAGTAATGTGGTCAGTTAAAATTCATAAGCCAGTTGAAACTTGTTTGGGACTGAGGTGTAGTTGTTGTTGTTGTTGTTGAAACATGTAGTTCTCACTTGCTAGGCTAATCCGGATTCGTGCCATAGAAAGCATGCGACGGAGTTTCTGGTGGCCCCAACCCAATAGAACTCCATTCACAAGGCTTGAACTGGAGACCTTTTGTTAAGAGTGAAAAAAAAAAGTTATCATCCCACCACACCCTTCGATGATGAGCTCAAAATATGTTAGTGCATGGATAAACATCAGATTTAGAGAATCCCTAATTTTGTGGAACCCCTAATTTGTTTCAAAAGACAAAATTTTGAGTATTATGATGAAGCTCGCGCCAGATTGGGTGGAATGGATATAGAGGATTCATCTAACTAACCACGACTAGTATGGGATTGAGGCATATTTGTTGTTTCTAGTTTGTTGTTAGTCTAATGTATTCATTTCTGTCATATTTTATAGATCTGTGTTTTCCTCTTTGTTATTCTTTAATGACTCATGTGGTGCTTTGTTGGTCAGAAAATGGTGAAAAATGAATGGAGAAATGTTTAGCCAATGGAGATATTTGATTACCTTCAGATTTGAAAGTAATATACTAATATTAAGAGGTTTTCTTTAGGAAAACTCAAGGAATTGGGAATGATTTTTGAAAATTAGAGAGGCTCGTGAATAATTTGATCTTGTAAGGATTAAAATGTATATGAGTCACGATTAAAACTTAGTTGGATCAAACGTAACAGTACTTAGAAAAGATCAATAGCTTGTGGGAAATCACTGGTTTAATTCGATCTTGTTTGAGATTATGTTTGGGTCTTGGGTCTCCATCTGTTGTAACTTACTTATGTTGAGCTAATTCTAGAGATGTTTGAGCAGTTAGTTGGCCGAGTTCAGATAATGAGAATAACCAAAAATGGGGTACCAATTTGTTTGCTGTTCCAGCAGAGTAACTCCGTTTTGATTATCAGACTAGTGTATGTTCCAATTGAGACAGTCACTTAAGATTGTCTCCATCTGAAAATCACTTAGCTTGTTGCTTGATCTGTATCTCTCTGTGTATTAGGATGGGGGTAAAAGCAATTCTCGAGATGTGTAAGTGATATGGTTCGTTAGCAAACCAGATGATCTTTGGATTTACTTCTTGATCATGATTGTTTAAGTTGTTTTCAGGAGTATGCTCAATGGTTTTCCAGTCATATCACCGTTCATAACTTCTAGGGTGTTCAACATTAAATTAAGTTTTAATAATCCTTTGGTTTCTTCAGCCGTGCTTGTCCGTGTATTCAACTCTCTTCTCTTTCTGCCAATTTACGACTTTATGTAAACAGGTGGTTATGGAGTCGCCACCGGTGGACCATTCGCTTGGGGGCTTTGCTATAACAAGGAAATGAGTCCTAGCCAAGATTACTGTGATGACTTCTTCAAATTAACCTACCCATGCTCTCCTGGAGTCCAATATTATGGTCGTGGTGCCCTGCCTATATACTGGTAAACGTTGCATTACCAATTTAGATTACCTATTATTTCTTCTTTGTTATCAACACACCACTCAATCCCATTGGGTTCTCTTCTCTGTTACGGTGTTGTTCTTGTTGTGCGATTTCACATCAACTTTAGCTGATCTACCACTATAGAACTTAGTTACAGGAGAAAGAAAAAGCCATTTAGCTCATCTGGTCCTTGTCACAGTATCTGCTCGAGCTGATGCCTGTTTCTTTATTTGATTAGGAATTTATTTCATTCGTCTAGCATATACAAGCACTAATGATATGTTTTTCCTTGGGTACTTCTACCTAGGAACTACAACTACGGAACTATAGGTGAAGCACTGAAGGTAGATCTGTTGAATCATCCCGAGTACATTGAACAAAACGCGACCTTGGCATTCCAAGCTGCGATTTGGCAGTGGATGAATCCAGTTAAAAAGGGTCAGCCTTCAGCTCATGATGCCTTTGTTGGCAATTGGAAGCCTACTAAGAATGATACTTTGTCTAAACGAGTTCCCGGTTTTGGCACCACAATGAACATCCTATATGGTGACAATGTTTGTAACCAAGGTGATGTCGACACCATGAACAACATCATCTCCCACTACCTGTACTACCTCGACTTGATGGGCGTTGGTCGGGAGGAAGCAGGGCCTCATGATATACTCACCTGCGCAGAACAAAAACCTTTCAATCCATCCTCCACCTCAACTGCTTCTTCTTGAGACTTAACTTGGATTTTCGACAGTCTGCATCTGCTGCTTTATCCTCAATGATTTTCGCAAAAGAAGCATTATCCAATAAGTGGAGCAAGATTGGCTTTGTCCTGCTCCCGGTGTAAACTGTGTGTTTGGGAGTCGTATATAAGGATTAAGGATGTCGCGCTTTCTTGTTGTGTCTTATTGAAGTGAATTTTGATCATGTAGTTTGTGCGGTGTTCGGGCCGAGGGTCTATCGGAAACAGCTTCTCTATCCTATCAGGGTAGGGATAAGGTCTGCGCACACACTACCCTCCCCACACCTCACTTCCACGATTATACTGAGTTGTTGTTGTTGAGTGTACTTTTAAAAGTCTTGATATATAATGTGCAATGTGAAAACTTCTCTCTATTATCTTTTCAACTGTTAAAATGAATATGCAAACAACATAAGGAAAAGAAGAAGAGGAAAAAGAGAAGGTTCATTAGAGGGAAGGAAGCTGTTGACAATTCTAAAAATATTGTCAAGACATTTTATCCACTCCTTAAGAGACTGTCCTTTTCTTTTACCAAGTTAAGACATTCAAAAAGGTTGTCAAGACATTTCTTCCACTCTCTGAGTTTTAATAACAATTGTGTTCGGATCAACTTGTACACGAGTCCGGAATCCAATTGTGGTTCTTTTGGACTCAAAATACCGAAATAGGTTAAAAAGAAATTGGTGACCAAAGTATATAAAACGTGCTTTTGAAATGCGTTTTACCTTAACTTTCGTTTGGGACGTTAAGGTAAAACGCCTTTTAAAAAGACGTTTTATATAAAAAGCTTTTTTTAAATACGTTTTACCTTTTTTGATTAGACGTTTATATAAAAAGTGGTTTATTAAGGCGTTTTATATAAAAAGCCTTAATAAACCACGTTTTGCCTCTTAAAGACAACAGTGATAATACCCAATTCCAATTACTTCGCCAAATTGAGTCATTCTTCCTTATTAACTGCAAAACACTCCTATGTTTTAATTATGTGCCTTAATTTTTTCTTTTTATATTATTTGAAGAATATCACAAAATTATTCCTCTCCTTTTTAATGGTATTGGTGTCCGGTCAGTGCACACACTTAAGACCACGTAACTATCTTGTCAAACTAATAAAATAAAATCGAGTAGTGTATCATAATAATAGAAATAATAAAAAGATGATCTAAGCAGAGGCGGAGTGTCAGGATTTTATTCTTATGGGTTCTAGATTTTAGCATACGACTTCATGTGTTAATGACTGTATTCTAAATCCATAGATCAGCTTGTGCCTCCACCCCGTAATATAAGAAGCACCTATACACATAAAATGTAAAAAAAAATTGTGTCTTTATATTCTTAAACATTATCTAGTCAAACTAAGAGACATAAAATGAAATCGATAAACTATATCATAATAGATAGTTTATGTTATAATAAATAGAAATCTAATAAAATAGTCGAGCTGCACGTAAGCTGGCACGACGCCACCACTACCATCATCATCATCATAATAAAAATATGTCTGATAAAATAAGAAACAGAAATCCGATAAAATAGCCGAGCTGCACGTAAGGTGGCTCGACACCACCACTACCATCAACGACAACAATAATAACTAAGCCTATATTCCAAATAAGTTTACCCGATACCACCATCATAATAAAAATATGTCCAATAAAATAAGAAACAGAAATCCGATAAAATAATCAAGTTGCACGTAAGCTGGTTCGACACCACCACTACCATCAACGACAACAATAATAACTAAGCCTCAATTTCCAATACGTTTACCCGATACCACCATCATAATAAAAATATGTCCGATAAAATAAGAAATAGATATCTAGATAAAATAGTCAAGCTGCACGTAAGCTGGCTCGACACCACTACAACATCAACGACAACAATAATTACAAAGCCTCGATTCCAAATAAGTTTACCCGATACCACCATCATAATAAAAATATGTCCTTATTATCACTTTTAACCCGCGCTAGAAACTATTTATATTTGGTAGCCAAAAAAGTGTATAAATTTTGTATTATATATATATATATATATATATATATATTACACAAATTTTATATATTTTTTCAGTTATTAGTTTTACATCGGCTATATAATATCATTTTTTCAAGCTGACCCGACACCACCGTCATTAAAAAAAAAAAAAGGAGAGAGGGAATAATAAAATAACTTTCACTGACAGCTAAATATACACAGATATTTCCTATATTCTCAATCATAACCCTCGGCCCCCTGAACTCCCTTCCTCATTCTCAACGTAACAAAACAGACAACAGACTCAAACAATCCATAACCTTCTCTCTCTCTCACACACACACACACACACACACACATTGTTCTCTGTCATTACCTGTCTGCTTAACTGTTTCTTCACTTTATTCCCTCATTACCCAAGAAGAAGAAAGAAGCCGAAGAAATTTTCTTTATTTATTTATCAGGTAAATGGAATAAATAAAAATAAGCCCTTTAATTTCGGTTGGTTTGTATGGCTATAATTATTCCTAATTAGTTGTTTTGTACCTCACCCTTTTGCCCTCTTTTCAATTCTCAGGGTTTCATTTTTTTGTTTTTTGAGGGATCAATTTGAATTTGACTAAATTTCATTTTTATTTTCCTCTCATTTTCAACTTCCCCAATTCATTTTCGGACCCTCTGGATCTAACCCTTGTCTGAGAAATTTTCAAGATTTTATTCTTTTTGTTCATTTGGTATTGTGGATTGTAATAGTTGATTAATTTGATTGCTATGGATGATAATTTTCACAGGCAAGGGCTAGTGGTAAGATTATATAAATTCCCCCTTTGGGTTTCTTGAAAATATCTGTTTTTCTAATTTAATAAAGCTTCATGCTATAAAAGAGGAATTTTATTTTGTATTGGGATCGGGGCGTTGTTGATTGATTGTGTGGTTGATCTCTGGCTATGTGTGAGTTTGCCTTGAAATGTGGATTGTATGTTTGGTTTGATGGAAATGGAATTAATTTCAAGATTCTATTTTTGGTGCTTTGATTTAATGATGGTTTTGTCTAGTTTTTAATTTTGTTTCCTTTTTGCCCAATGTGGAGGAATGTACCATTTAAGGGGATTCCTTAGAAGAACATGAAATTGGAATCATTAAATTGTGATGTATATTGTAGTCATGCATCGATATCTTGTATCTTTTGATATTAACTTCTGTATCTTTTGCTATTAATATCATAGTTTATTGGTGGAGAGAGGTAGTATTTCTGTTTTCTCTGCTTTTAACTTGTTTTCCTTTTTTCCTAGGGAGCTTTTACTTAAGATATTCTTTGTTGGCAAGTCTAGACATTTTCCCCTTTTTTGCTCTTTGATAAATATCAATGGAGCTCCTTGTGATTTATTTCTGTTAAAATTGATTTTTGGTTTTGGAATTTCTGAGGGATGCGCTCTTAAAGGCATCCAGCAGATTGTGTTATTGACGGGTTCATTTGTCTAATACAATTTTTGTCATTTAGATTTCAAAAATATTGCAAGTACCTTGTAAATTACCCTCCGAACAAGGAGAGAGCTGTATGCCATTTCCATCAAATTATTTAGGAAATAAAGTGGTAGTACGTGTATAATGAAGTATGTTCATTCTTACATTTGAGTTACTGAACAGGCACATGCTCCTCCTCCTGGACACTTCTCACGGTTGGAAAACAGAAGGGCTGAAGACGATCTTTATTTGAGAAAGAGAGTGAGGATGAGAAGGTGGCTGTGCTGCACCTGTCAAGTAGAGGAGTCCTACCCATCAAATGAAACCGAGCACCTTAAAAACCCTGCAACTCATGCTGATGGTACATTATTGCATTTTGTGCTTAAGCTATCTTTAATGAAAAAACCAAATTGCTTATCTCCTTTGTTGTCTGAAGATGAGTCTTTGCCTCGTCGGTGCCATTTGATTTAGCTGATTGATGTGATCATTTTGTCATTGCATCCCTGATTCCCCGTCACACACTAGAGTACAAATTTAGGATACTTTGGAAATTTTAAGAAGAAATTGAACTTCTCATGGTGATATCTGATTGTGCTCTCCCTTTATATATATGTATGTGTAATATTGTCTTACAGATCTTTTCTGAGGCATTATGTACCACCATACGTTTGCCTATTATATAAAAGGGTTGAAATCAATCTTAGTTCGGCTTCCAGAATTTTTGTTTGCATTCAATTTGAGTGAGTGGAGCTAATGAGGATCCTCTTAAATTCGAATTCAACTATGCTAGCGTAAAGGGTACTGTAGATTTGCTTCATTAAATTACTTAACTACCGCTTTCAATATTCATAAGTTTTGTCCCACGACAACAACACAAAATCTTGAAATGATACCAGACTGGCTACACTAAGACATGCTGAAATTAAGATCTACTCAAAATTTTAATGAAAAAGGAGTAGCCGAAGATTCTGATTACAGCTAAATCCCGATGTTTCCTAGCAAGATTAAAAATTTGATCAGATCAGCTTTGATCCAACTCTTGTAATTTGTCCAAAGTAACCTTGTTTATTTATTTATTGATATTCCAAATTGTGGTATCAGAAACATTTGCTTGAGAATTGTTTATAATGGATATCAGTGGTAGGCCTCTTGATTTGCTTTGTTAATCCCTGTCTCCGAGGAAGTCAGAGGGGATATGCTCGCAATGCAGAAGGAAGATTTCATCGCTTTCCTAAAAGATTTAATTTTAAAAAAAATAAAAATTGAAGGACCTAGTGTCTACTTCAAATATGAAATTTGACTCTATGTGCCGTCTATTTTGGATTCTTTTTGGTTATAAAATACTTTCTTGATAACCTTGGAAAGTATTTCGGACAGTTCCCATGTGCTTGTTTGCTCAGGAAATATCATGTCAAAAGTGTATGCATCCTTACAAGGAACATATCCCAACTGTTCTATTTTAACTTTCTAGTTTATGGGTGACACAGGGTCCCAGATGAAACTTGTGATTAACAACAACAACAACAATATTTCTTTTAGAACACTCAAAAAAAAAAAAAAAAGAAGTATGACATATCTTCCTTCAGTTGAGTACATATATGTTCATGCCACATTGAATCTATTTGTCTGGATCGTTTTAGGACTATTATTTATGGCATGTTTGGCTGTGCTAAATTTCTAGTGCTTCTTAGACAAGTCTCAGTTTTCCGATTGGCGAGATAGTTTTGGTTTTAATTAGTTTCCTTTGGTATCTGGTACCAGGATATCAGAACGGGTCAAGAGTACCAGGTCCTGCCAAGGCTGAAGCAGAAAAAGCAATACCAACTATAGAGGTCCCAGCATTATCTTTGGATGAACTGAAAGAGGAAACTGACAATTTTGGATCAAAAGCATTAATTGGTGAAGGTTCTTATGGGAGAGTATACTATGCTAATCTAAGCAATGAAAAAGCTGTTGCCGTGAAAAAGCTTGATGTTTCATCCGAGCCTGAGACTAATGTTGACTTCTTGACTCAGGTAAAGTGTATTTTCTCATGTAATTCTTTTTGGCTGTGATACATGTAAATCTCTCTGATATCTGTTTCCTCTTTTCACCTTAAGCTTGCTAGAGTTTCAAGATTGAAGCATGGCAATCTTGTTGAGTTGCTTGGTTACTGTGTTGAAGGAAACATTCGTGTATTAGCGTATGAATTCGCAACGATGGGGTCCTTGCATGATATTTTGCACGGTATGAAAAAAACTTCATGTCTTTGAATGTGAGAGAATTTATTAGCTTGATAGATAATATATTCTCTCTGTATTATGTATGTTCTTGCTTACAGGAAGGAAAGGAGTACAAGGGGCGCAGCCGGGGCCAACACTTGATTGGATGCAGCGGGTAAAGATTGCTGTTGATGCCGCAAGGGGACTCGAGTATTTGCATGAGAAGGTCCAACCTTCAATAATACACAGGGATATAAGATCAAGCAATGTACTCCTATTCGAAGACTACAAAGCAAAGATTGCAGATTTTAACCTGTCAAATCAGGCTCCTGATATGGCTGCTCGCCTTCATTCTACTCGAGTTTTAGGAACATTTGGCTATCATGCACCGGAGTAATGTCTCCCACCTTTCTCTTCTGACTAACCTTTTATATTTGTTCTATCGGTACTCTGTTTCTTCTTTAAATGTTGTACACATGTTTTGCGCTTTTGAGTTTTTCTGAACTCCTCGCTTCTGGTAACGTATTGCTGAATCTTATTTTCTATCTAGCCACTAGATTAACTTCCTTTTGGGTATGATACATTTCGAACTAGGAATATACAACTTAAGTATAAAAGTGGGGAAATTTAAGCTACTAGGAATGGGTGTGATCTGCGGTAAAAGTTGGCAATAGGTTTTGTAAATGATTATATAGTAACATTGAGTCTCCGATGCATCTAACTGATGTTAAAGCATATTTGGTAGAAATTATTGATGAGATTTAATGCTGTTGAAAGTTTTCTAGAATAAGGGCCCGATGAGACAAAGCATCAGTAAGAAAAAGTAAGTTTTAGCCACTGAAATAATATTTGTAGTTGCTAAATGACGCATATACCATGCCTCAACAGCATAGGAAAATGGTAATGCAGCAGATTTTCCGGGTTTCTTCACTTTATGTGATAAAAGAGTCTACTGGGGCTAAGGAAAGATTTAAATAAGTAAGGTGCTTCTTCGCTTCTGGGGTAAAAAGCTAAATAAAACTCAAAAAAGCCAAAGATACTCTGAAATTAAGTTTTGAATATTAAGGTGTAAAAGGCGAAGAGGCTTTCTTGGAAATCCGAAAGCTCATCTTTGCTTTTGTGTTGGTTTCCTTTTTTTTATTGTGGATGTTATATTTTACGTTTATCAAGAGATAATTTGCCACTAAAGTTAGCTTGTTATGGGAAAGGAGCTGGTGAAGACAACAATGTAGCTGATATTTCGGAGTTTTTCAAATATAAACTACTTGTACTGGTGAATTTCATTTTCATGATTTATGGCATCTTTTCTTCCCCACCATACCTATAGTAACATTTAGCATTTGGATCTGTTTGGACGGCAAAAACAACTAACCACTTTTGTATATGGGATGGAATGTTTGGATCTCTTGTTATAAAATGTACAAAGATAGTTTGCTGATTTGCTCCTTTACATACTTTCATTTATTGGTATAAATTATAGAACCAGTTTTCTACTCAAGGTTTTGTCTTCTCGCGAATAACCAAATGTTTAAGCTTTTGAGTGAAGGTAGTTTTGTTCTCTATGAGTGATTCTAGTTGATAATTAAGCTCTATCTACAAAGTTAGATTACAAAGTTGTGAGATATTTGCTGGAGTTGTTTCTCTGCCGGTTGTTTAACCTGTTAGCATCTCCGTCACCTGCTTTGCTCCTTTATTGGTGTAAAATGCTCCAAAAAAGTTGTTTTGTTTCAGGAGTATTATCTAACCCAAGTATCGTAAAAATAATTACAGATATGCTATGACTGGACAATTGACACAGAAGAGTGATGTGTATAGCTTTGGGGTGGTCTTGCTTGAACTTTTGACCGGAAGAAAACCCGTAGACCATACAATGCCTCGAGGACAGCAGAGCCTTGTTACTTGGGTGAGCATAGCTTCACATTTTTTTTCGTGCAGTTTTATTCCTTATGTACTCTTCTCTGCTATATGTTTAGATCCTATCCTTGATGTATAATAATTGCTTGTTTAAATTTGTAGGCTACCCCGAGACTGAGTGAAGATAAAGTCCAGCAATGTGTCGATCCAAAGCTGAAAGGATATCCTCAGAAAGCAGTGGCTAAGGTCTTCTTCTCCCCTTCTCCAATATCTGCTCCCCCTCCCTACCCCCCCCCCCCCTTCTCCCGCCACCACCCCACCCCACCCCAAAGGTCCCAACTAGTCTTGATTGGAAAAAGGTGCTGCAAAGGTTCCTTACAATTTCTGATTGGTGATGTTCTTTTTCTTATTTTCCGGCTCATTCAGATGGCAGCTGTGGCAGCGCTGTGCGTGCAATACGAGTCTGAGTTTCGTCCGAATATGAGTATTGTTGTCAAAGCTCTCCAACCACTGTTGAAGGCTCCTCCTGCACCTGCTCCAGAAATATAAGGAGCATATCGTCACTTTGCTTGTTTTGGATTCTCAACTGATAATTTGCACTGTTTTGGTATATCATGCCAGTATTTCATTTGTAACATGACATAAAAATAAGACTTACTTCAAAATTTTCCCCGTATTTGAAAGTGGTGTGTATGATTGATTGCTTAACTTCCATGGTGAGATTGTTGAGGATTTCCTGAGACTGAGGGTTGTCTATAATTTTTTTATTAAAAAAAACGGATTCTGTCCTGTCAATTTGTGTATTATATTTGTACTCATTGGTATTGTATTATATTTATAACGATATGATTTATACTATTCAGATTGGACCTCTAATTTTGGCACCTTATCATTGAGAAGACTAATATACACACGCACACAATTGCTGTTTGCCATAACCTGTCTACTACCATGTTTATCCTTCCATGTTAGTTTATACTCCTTCCGTCTCAATTTATGTGAACTTATTTGACTGGGCATGAAATTTAAGAAAAAAGAGAATACTTTCTAACTTGTGGTATAAAATGATTGAAACAGAGGAAGTAACAAATAACATTTCTTATCGGCTTTCACATCTATGATTTGTCAAACTATATGGATACAAGAGCAAGAAAATGAACTAAACAACAAAGTTCTATGTTAAGAAAGGGGTTGCTTTTCTAGTAAGGTGGGGCTGGTAAGGTAAAATATTATCATTTTGGATATTCCTAATAAGAGATTAAGTAGGCGTTTGGACATAAGAATTGTAAAATTTCAAAAAATGGTGAAAAAATTTTTCAAGTGAAAATGGTATTTGAAACTTAGAGTTGTGTTTGGACATAAATTTCAGTTTGGGGTGTTTTTGAGTTTTGTGAGTGATTTGAGTGAATTTTGAAAAACAGTTTTTTGGAGTTTTTCAAATTTTCGAAAATTTCCAAAATGCATCTTCAAGTGAAAATTGAAAATTTTATGAACAAACGTTGATTTCGAAAAAAAGGAAAAAAAAAATTATGTCCAAACGGGCTCTAAACCCTCTGTCTGAAATTACTGCGTTATTTAGTTCAACTAGAGTCGGATAATCCAAGATCTTGACTGCAATTACCAGACAATCACTTGACTAAAGCTCCAGAAGTCGTAGCGATAGATGAGTTTGCTCAATCATTAAACTGGTCTCTGTGGAGGGGATGACACAATCAATCCTGTTGTCCAAGTCACTACAACCCATTTAACTAATCTAAGTCTAGCATCAGCAGACAACTTTAGGCAGTGCTGGATGGAACTGGATTAAATTCATCCTCAGGGCATGGAATGGGTTCCGAGCCGAGGGTCTATTTAGAAACAGACTCCCGACCTTCACTAGGTAGGGGTAAGGTATGCGTACACACAACTCTCCTCAGACTCCACCTGTTGGGATTATACTGGGTATGTTGTTGTTGTTGGCTTGGAATGGGTAGGCTTCACATTAGACTAATCCGCCAATATAGACACAGTTCTACAAATAAGGAATGAATCTTTAGAAAGAGAACCAAATTCACACACTCTCTCTTGTGAACAGACTGGATCTGTGGCTCCGACCAGTATGAATACAATATACTGCTGCACATCTTGGATACCTATCAAAGGCTGGCTCATTGCATCTGAAATTAAGCAGAGTAAAACCTCCATGACCAATTTAACAGAAAAAGGTGCGCCCGGGTTTTTTTTTCTTTGTGGGGGGGTGGGGGGTTGGGGGGGAGGGGGGGAGGGGTCTCCGTAACTCCATGCTGCTCCGCAACATCCAACAATGTCCACATTGATATTAATATATAATCTGGCAAGTTCTCAAATCCTAAAAGTCCTCTGAGTAGTAAAAACAGATGCAGTGAGAACGTCAAAGAGAGCTACATCTCACTAAAACATAAGTCAATACAATGAACTGGCAAGACGGCTTCGATGAATTAGGTTTCTCTAGTGATCGTTATGAACTTTCTCAATTGTACATAACATAGCTATGCCATTCGATAGCTGATACTGGATTCCTGCAACAGCAAGTTGAAGCAGGTGTGGGGTTGGAGTACAAGGGTGGAGGAGAGACTGATGCCAAATTTAACATCTAATATACAACAATGAGAACTAGCCATAGAGCTATAATGAGATTCCGCCACTCCTGTTAATTATCACGCCGTAGATGGCCAAATGTGTATGAATCATGGGCGAGATTCTGCATGAAGAATGAAGTACATTAGGAAAAGAGAAAATGTTGGTCCAAATGTCAAGAGATTACAGTGATTAGCAGAGACTACTAAATCCAAACTGTAACCACAAGCTCACTTTCCAACAAAAAAGAAAAGATTGAAAAGAATAAGCTACTAAATGGAGGTAGAGCTGTCAGAAATGGAAGAGAGGCATTTCAATTTACAGAACAATATCAGTGCAGCTCAACGAAATAGTCCAGCCATTATTCCAAGGGATTGGTTTGTTCCGGAACTAGCAATGTTGCAGGCATTATATTACACCAGAACTTCAAAAGGGTTATTCTAGTTTTATTATTGGTAAAATAAAGAGCTAACCTTCAAAAGAGTAATTTTATCCTTCAAAAAATAAATTCTGTAACTTAGGTGTGTCTATCGTTATATCAAAGAAGAGAAACACATCTCAGAAAGTAATAACTATCCAAAATTTTCTGGGTGACAAGATGTAGAGAAACAGGAAACTCAAATTGTGCATACAAGAGCCTTTACTACAGTCCATAGACCACCAATAGAAGGCCAAGGTTTTCGTTGGACAACTCTGGATTACCCATGGATCAAATCTTCTGAGGCATGACCAAGGTATGGAAATAGATAAACACAACCAACCAACTACATGTAAGCATTTTGAAAGGAAACTAGGACTTGTTTTAAGGGGCAACCACTTATTATTTAAAATACAGATTTCCTAGCATGAATGAGACATGCTCCAGGAATGCGGAAAAAAAAGTTCACCTCAAGCCCAATTCTTTTTGAGGATAAAGGAGAATCCCCGAGGGCCAGTGGAGCACGGTCGAAATACATAATGGGTCCGGTCCTCTAACTTCCCCACTTAAATATCAGGCTTTTGTTTGTGGCAGGGTGGAAACCTGTATCATGCGCCTAACCCACACATCACAAGTTGCGCTCTTACCACTAGACTAAAGCCCTAGGTGCTACCTCAAGCCCAATTTTAGTAGCAAAATTTTGCCAACACTGACCTTCATTATTCCTGGAGATGAATGGTTTCAATATTCATGAACATCCCAAAATGGAAAGAGTGTTGCATTGATTCGGGCCGGAGGGAGTAATAAGTTCCAAAATAAATCAATCTTGCTTGATGCTATTTATTAGAGAGCACTCATAATTTCAAGTAAAGTTACCAGCAACTTTTGAATACCTGTTCTTGGGCACGGAAATACATGAAAGGTGTATTGTGGAGAAAGTTTGAAACTCTAGAGGTATAAATATCAGCATATCTGCAGTTTCAAGTTACAAAGATGTAAAAACAGTCAAGATACTTACAAAAATCTTTAAACATCAATTAATAGCATATTAACAAAGTGACATAAATTTTCACAACACATTGACATACTTCTCAATTTGACGCATCAAGTGGCTTTTATCCCACAGACCTGCACGTGAAAGATAACCCCACCTGAAAGGAAAATAAGGCAGATAGAACCCTCAAGTTAAAATTTGTCAATTGAAAAAGACACCGTTCCTGTGAGCTCATCTGAGAAAACATGCAGATATGCAAGTAAAAATTCCTTCGACCTTTATAGGTTAAACTTGGTCGAGGTAATGTGGACTCATTCCGAAAATTAAAATGTCAACTAAGAGCTAATGTAACCATAAATAAAACAACACACTCCAAGAAATCTGAGGCAGAATTGAAGAAATAGGTAATTTTAAAAGAAAAATCTCCAAGTCACCTTTTGTTGAAAAGCTCTCCGTCCTCATCCAACATTGGACCAATTTTCTGGTCTAGCCTCTGCATAACAACTAGTAGCTTTTGCATGCTTTCTGTGAGCTCATTATCGTCCATATGTGTGGCAGCAAGGGTCTGATGCATAGTAAGGCAATACATCTTTAAAGTGGTTACATCAAGTAACCAAAATGATAGCACAAAGTAAACAACACAAGTCATTAAAGACATTGCAATTAGCCTTGTTAGAGAGCCAGACCTTTTTCTTTGTTATCTATCTTTTTCCTGATACACGTAAAGAATATAGCAAAATGGAACTAATTCCCAAAGAAACAACCATCGACTTCAATACCCCCCCCC